TTCGAATAAATCACCATTTATTCGAATAGGAACTGGTTTTTCAAGCCACGCGATTGATCCAAACTATTCGAATAGTTCTTTAATTATTCGAATAAGTCTACAGTTTCAAGTACCAAACGGCTAGTTTTTTGAATGCTTTTCATCCCTATCAACTCCCTAACTTCTATAAACTATCTACTTTCGAGATTATCTTCATAAGAGCACTTAGAACACTTTGAAGAACATATCCTTTGAATATCCAAAGAGATTCTACTCAATCCCCTCCATATATCCAAGCAAGGCAATTGTTTTGATTGCTAAATCATTTCTTGCTTGAGTTTTTCCTCATTGCTTGAGTCTTTGAGAGATATTGCCATATTCTAAAGGACTTCATTGTATTTTCAACAATCTACTCCGTGTTGGGAGAATTACTCGGTTGCGGTTTGTTTTCTTACTTTATTATAAGGGTTTTGTATTCTTGGTGTTGGGATTACACCAAGTGGTAGAAATCCTAACGGTTTGTGAAATCAAACGTTAGGTGGAAGAAATCCTGAGTTTTGTGAAATCAAAACTTTGGTGGTAAGATAAGAGGCTTGTGAAATCAAGTTCTCGAGTTGTATTCGGATTGTCAAACTCCGTTAAGTTTGACGTGTTTGTGAAGGCCTGGGCACGATTGCTTCGGGGACTAGATGTAGGCATTTAGGCCGAACCAGTATATATCGTGTGTGCATTGCTCTTATCCTTCACTTTATTTTGTTTGTGGTGCATTGATTTTATTGAATATTCGTGAAGAACGTTTCCGCGCAAAAAACTGGTCTTTTGGGCAACACCTCTATCCACCCCCTCCAGAGGTGTGCGAGGCGTCTAACATCGTAGACATAGTATCCAGCACAGGGCGGTCATAGGGTGGGAAAGGTGCCCTACTGGCCCATGTCCATTTCTTTCAGGGAGCCAATAATATATATTATGCTATATATTTTTTAATAAAAAATTTATAAACATAATTTTTAAAGATAGCAATTAATATATTTCGTTATAATACTATTGTTTCTTATATATATTATTATAATATTAATTGTTATTTTTGAAAAAATAATTTATATAATTTAACTTTTTAGGACCAAAACTAATTTTTTTCGTCTCGTTCGTCCGGGACAAAGTCCTTGGTGCCGGCCCTGATCAGCGTGCACCTTGGTCCTTGGGGGTTTGTTGAGATAAATAAAACAAATGGGCTCGAGCCATAAAGCAAAGGTTTTTTTGTGTTCTTGGGTTGGGCCAACCTCAGCTTGAAAACCATAGTACTTCGTACTCCGTATATTTTACAGAGTAATTATAATTATATGTAACACCTCCAAATTTTTATATGGAAATACAATTTTAAATGATAAAAATAATGTTAAGTTTTTTCGCAATATTTGAATTACTATGCATAATTTATAATTAAGTAAATAAACCATTTTAAATTTAGAATGCACTTATAAATAGATTACTAAAATAAACTTTTTATTAAAGATTTGAAAATGTTGTGACCCCTTTTTTCACAAAAGTGGGGTTTTGAAAATTAATGGGGGCATAAAAATTTCTTTTAGTAGGGGGCATTTTTTAGATTTAAAAAATTAGGGTTTTATTTAGAAAAAAATTAAGTCATTGGGGGTAAGTGCCCCCATTAAAATCAGTGTGCATCCACCCCTGATTGTTACTTATCGATCGTTGTTACTTATTGATCATTGATCTGAATCAAACGGTTCAATCTATTGATCATCGGCCCATTTACTTATCCGATTTGATGTTCGGTCTTGTTTTCATAACGTTGATATAAAGTATGAGACTTAGCTTGCAGATATATGAAGTATATTGCTCTCATATATTCATTTCATATTAATTTGTTCGTTTTGAGTTTATGATATTTCACACAAGTTCCACCTTTTTTTGTGTGTTTTGAGTTTTGACTTCCATATTGTGTCCCTTGAAAAGGCATGAATGGAGTTATTTTGGATACGCAAGTCATGGTAAAAATCAATTTATATATATACAAAAACTAGCGCGAAGACCAATTTATACTTGAAAAGATGATTATTATATATTACTAGTATTATTATTACTCCTTTTGTCTTAAAACCATCCTTTCGGTTTGACTAAAATTCATTTAAAGGGATTGATTATTTTAGCTTTGACTTCCAATAATACCACTTGTTAGGGAATGTAGTAGGGTTAGTTGTTAACGGGCTTATTCTTGTTGGGCTCGTAATTAGGTCATGGTCTTGTATATATTATAAATAGCGGATTTATGTGTAATCAAATCATTCAAGTTTAGATCTAGTTATATTTCTACATGGTATCGGAGCCAAACTCAAAAGTCTAAACCCTATCTGGCTTTCGTCAAATTCTTCGGTTCCGCCGTCGCCGGTGGTTTGTCCGGAGGCGGCGGCATCGCTATCTGTTCCCACCACCATCGTGTGTCAATCTCAAATCAAGTATATATTAAATCATCAATCTCTATTTTGTTAGGATATCCTATTCCACCACAAAGTCCCTCTATCAATTGTCCGTAGCTGGTGTTGTGCGTTAAACTGTCCCAGATATGTTCATCCAGCGGCAACGTCTCAAGTCCTCCGTCGTCGTCCGGTGTGGTGTCTCTGTCAATTCATTTGTTCCTTGGGTGTAATTTGTTGGATGGAAGTATGTTAATTGGCAGCTGCATCAATTTTACTATGATAGAATTTAGGATGGGGTAGAGACAACTAGATTGGGCAATAAGACCCTTGGTTAAACCGCATTGAATGATTGAATTCAATCTATTAGTTAGTTTAACTCAAGAGCTTATATACCGATTATTTTGCTCTTGAACTTCCGATGTGGGATGAGACTCTAACACTCCCCCTCAAGTGGACAACCGGACCATTTTGAATCTAACCGGTAGACCACTTGCAAAATGAACTCTCATTCCCTTGACTTTTTTATGAGCGCCAACACCTTAAGGACTATGAGCCGCTGGGTATGGACTTCCAGACGGGCAGCTAGGAATGAACGTCTAGACGGACACCTTGACAACGAGGTGGGCCAAAACCTGCTCTGATACCATGATAGAATTTAGGATGGGGTAGAGACAACTAGATTGGGCAATAAGACATTTGGTTAAACCGCATTAAAAGATTGAATCCAATCGATTAGTTAGTTTAACTCAAAAGCTTATATACATATTATTTTGTTCTTGAACTTCCAATGTGGGATGAGACTCTAACATACTATAAAAGAAGGCAATTTTGTTTCAGCATATTCTTCACTGGGTATTTGGTCTGTGTGGTTATTGGTTTTGGTTTGATTTGTTCGCGCTCCGTAGAAGAAGGTTTTTGTGTTCACTTTACCGTTCATCGAAATTTGATGACGTTTTTGGCGACATTGTTTTTGGTTGCTATTTGGTATGTTCAAGTGCAACCAGTTGTATGTTCGGCATATTTGTTTGTGAGGTTGGTCGCATAGTCGCGCCTTAGTTCGACATATCTGTTTGTGAGGTTGATCGCATAGTCGCGCCTCAGTCCGGCAACACGGCCTCCAAGTTTGGGATGCTTGTTAGTCATCCCCGTGTCACCGTGTGGGAGTCATCCGTCATCAAAATTTATTGTTCGTTTGCAGGGCCAGTCACCTTCGTTCATTGTTGTCACAACAGATCAAGTTCAAGTTATTTATCAAATTTTTTTTTAGTCCTAGTTTTTTTAATTGTCCACCTTGTGCATTCGTTAACCTCATGCTCAACTTAAGGGGGAGTGTTAAGGAATGTAGTAGGGTTAGTTGTTAACGGGCTTATTCTTGCTGGGCTCGTAATTAGGTCATGGTCTTGTAGCTATTATAAATAGCGGATTTATGTGTAATCAAATCATTCAAGTTTAGATCTAGTTATATTTCTACACCACTCCTCCTAAAAACCCAATTCAAATCCAATGAAAAAATCGTACGCCTTTTTGTGCGCAACAAGCTACGCAGCCGACTACTCGACGACGACACTAGGTGGGTGCGACCACTTCTAGAAGATCGAGTCTCTTTGGCTCGCTGTTCTTTGAGTAGCTAGTCACCGCAATCTTTGGGTGACGACATTAGTGTCGGAAAATAGATCTGGATGAGGGCGAAGGCATCCGCGTCGAAAAATAGATCTGGGCATGGCAACGGCGACCAGAAAATGGTGAGAAAAGAGAAAGAGAGGTGAGAGGAAAAGAAGAGAGAAGGGTAAATGTGTGGAGGTTGGAGAATAAAAGATGAAAGAGTAAAATAATCATTTCATACATATTTTTGTTAAAGTGATAAGATATTTAATTGTTAGATTGGAGAAAAAATGAAGGTGAAAAGATGATTTTAGTACCGAGAGTATTTTTATTATTATTGAGACTGAAGGCTTTTAATAAGATGCCGTGAGTTGACGCAATTATTAAAAGTTCTTTTTTTTTCATCTAGTGGTTTTTGCAAGTTGTGAGAAGGAAGCAAGTAAAGGAAACAATCACAATGCTTAGCTTCAAGGGCTTAGCTTCCTTATAAGAAGTAGGGAGAGCCGAACTAGCATACCCACTACTAAATGTATTATTATTATCATCCAGTTCAAAAACTTTGATTGGGGTAAAGGTCAAAACCACATTTCTAACTTGACACTTGTCCTTTACTCTCCATTTCATCACATTTTGACCACTCAAGTTTTGCCAGCGCTGTGTCCTTTTTCTTTCTTTCTTTCTCTTTTATTGTTCTAATATATATATATATATATATATATATATATATATATATATATATATATATAGGGGCCGGTTCCCGTGAGAATGCACCTTGTGGAGAGAAATGAGAATAAAATCTAGCCGTCAGATTTGATGCATCGTGTGGCTCAGATTGTATCCTGCGCTCAGATTTTGAGATAGTGCATTTTGAAGGTTTATGGTGCATTTCGACGTGATGCATTTTCGAACCATTTTGGTGCATCTAATTTTGATGAAATCTTGACCCTTAGATCTCACAATCTAAAGCACCAGATTCATTCTCATTTCTCTCCTAAGATTGCATTCTCACCAGAACCAATATATATATATATATATATATATATACTCCCTCCGTCCCAAATTATTTGTCACGTTTCTATTACCGAGGCAAAATATCAAGTTTTTTCAATTCATTTTATTTACATATTGGTAAAGAAATAAAAAATAAAAATTACATATCAAAAAACTACATGAAAAGTTCTTCGAAATAAGAGGTGTCAAGAATATTTTATTTTATCAAATAACCAATGAAAACGTAGAAATAAACAAAAGTTCCCGCGACTGTTGAAAAAGCAAATGTGGCAAATAATTTGGGACGGAGGGAGTATATGTTTTGATTTTTGGTGTTGAGTNAATTATTTGTCACGTTTCTATTACCGAGGCAAAATATCAAGTTTTTTCAATTCATTTTATTTACATATTGGTAAAGAAATAAAAAATAAAAATTACATATCAAAAAACTACATGAAAAGTTCTTCGAAATAAGAGGTGTCAAGAATATTTTATTTTATCAAATAACCAATGAAAACGTAGAAATAAACAAAAGTTCCCGCGACTGTTGAAAAAGCAAATGTGGCAAATAATTTGGGACGGAGGGAGTATATGTTTTGATTTTTGGTGTTGAGTTTCTAAAAAAATGATTTTTGATGTGATGGATAAAAGTATGATTTGATGGATAGGTTAATAGTGAATAAATGTGATTGATAAATATGTTAAGAATTAGTAAGGGTAAAAATGATTTTTTAATTAAAATAAGAAAAGTTTTTTTGGGAGTGAGTATATAATTGGATACAAGAATGTTTAGTTTACGAAAAACGTGCATTATTGGGCTTGGAAAGTAAAATATACTTTTCTTCATCCTTTAATTATCTTCTTTGTCTCTTATTTTGATTATTGCAAATATTTCTTTCCTTTTCCTTTTTTAAAAGAAAAAACTATCTCAAATAATCTCACATTTTCTGGTTTTTTTAGAAATAATCTCACTTTTCACTGTCATCGAAAATAATCTCACACTTCTGCATGTGTGCGAGTTTTGGGTTACCGTTAAAAAACTAATGGTCACTTACAGAATTTTTGAAAAATGATTGTTTTTCACAAATAAATGCAAGGTGGGATTATTTTAGGTAAATTCTCTTTTTTGTTTTTTAATTTCTAACTTTATGAATGTATTTTTTATTTTATTTTTTTGGAAAAATATTACCAAATTTAAATGGTTTTTAGAGTGAAACTAATTGTTTTTTCAATAATTGATAATCTGGTAATAGTTAAAAAGTAAATTGTTCTACACAATAGAGCTAATTTATTTACTTCATATTTCACTGCATTTTTTGCATCTTGCAATTATTTTTCTTGAGTGACACTTCGAATTGTATTTTGATACTATATTATTATTATTACGGAGTATTTCTTAAAAACTGGCACTACAAAACTTGTGAATATGTTTCGATAATTCTATATAAATATTTTTTGCGAAACAACATTAAAATGGAACTACCTAATTTTTGATTTTTTGGATAATTCAGTACAAATATTTTCCCAAAATAGTACGGAGTAATTCAAAAGTTATGAAAATGGCACAATATTTTTCCCAAATCGGCACTAATAAATTTTATAACTCACCATAATTTTTTTGTATTACAATTTCATTCTTGATCGATACTCTGAATTATTTTTGATAATTCAATATTATATTTTCTGAGAACACAGAAAAAAATTTGTAAATCGTTAGATAAATCTCTAACAAGAGTGTACCGTTATATTTTAAAAATATTAATTCTAAATTTAAAATTAAAAAAAGTAAAAACTAAATTTGCCTAAAATAATCTCATCTTTCATTTATTTGCAAAAACTGGTTTTTTTAAAAAAAATTCTTCAAGTGGCTGTTAGTTTTTTAACGGCGATCCAAAACTCGCACACATGCGAAAGATGGGATTATTTTTTGTTACAGTAAAAAGTAGGATTATTTTTGAAATAGTGCAAACATGTGAGATTATTTGAGATAATTTTTTTCTTTTTAAAAAGACTTATCATAAATCATAATCACTCATATTCCACTTTAATAAAAAACCATGTCAAGTAAACCTGGAATATAATTCCGTTCCCCTAGAGAGAGTACTTCATCTTCAATGTTTAGAGCAACTCCAATGGGAGGGGTATATGAAAGAGTAAAGAAGAATAATTGTGATATATACCTCTTTTCATTAAAAATCATTCTTCAATGGGAGATGTAAATAAGGAAGCATTATACCTTCTTCAATTTTGAAGAGGTATCTTTACCTTCTTCATTTGGGGAGGTATATTAACTTTTCCTGCCTTTTAAATTTATTTCATCAATTACTTTAGTTATTGTATTTTTGCTTGAATGTATTATTATAAATTTTTAATTTGTATCTTTGTAATTGTAAAACTTAATGAGTCAAGAATTAAAAACAAGGATACTTTAATTTGTTTTTTTAATTTTGCACTCTGTATTTTTAAGTTTTTTCTATTCGGGTATTTGTAATTTTACATGTGCAATTGGACATAATGTATATTTAATTATTTCAAAACTAACATTCTAATTTTTTTCCCAATAAATTAGTTGTATTTTTATAAAATCTTTAAATTAAAAATTTTGATTTAAGAAAGTAAATCAATTAATTTTTTCCCAATGCTGTATGGAGATGGATTTTTTTCCTCTTTTGCCTTTTGATTTACCTTCTCCCATTGGAGTTGCACACTTTTTGGAAAGGTAAATTTGATCACGTGGAGAGGTAAATGAGATATATACCTCTCCAAAATACCTCTCACTGTTGGAGTTGCTCTTATGATATTCTAGGTCGAATTGGATCGATTAAAAGCCTAGGGGTGATAAGAAGTAAATAAAATTTAAAAAAATAGCCCGGAGAACAGTGGGTGACTAAATATTTCGGCTCGAGGCTACGTAAAAAAAAAAAGTTGACATGGGACATGGCCGGCGCCAAATAGTCTTGACTTTAAAACGATTTCCATGATTAATTACCTTCTCACCTATAAATTTGGGCAATCATCCCTCTCAATGGAACTTCCTAGCTTAGTTTCTTCTTCCATCATCTTTAATTTCTCTTACCATACCATATAGCTAGAGAGTAATTAATCAAACAGCTATCTAGCTAGAAGAATATACACAATAATAGTTAATAATAATATACATATAATAATGGGCAGATCTCCATGTTGTTGTGATAAAAAGGAGCTGAAGAAAGGTCCTTGGACTCCCGAAGAAGACCTCAAACTCATCCATTATGTTCAAGCTCATGGTCCCGGCAGCTGGCGTACCCTCCCTATGCATGCCGGTATGTAATACCTACCGTATATCTATATATATACACGATTGAATTGCATGCATGCATGCTGCCTAAATCCATATATACTAACCCTAGTTAGTTTCAGCCTCTTAATGGTTCAGATGTCTGAATGGTTCAGCACTTAATGGTTCAGACTGTTTGTTTCAGCCTCTTAATGGTTCAGATGTCTAAATGGTTAAGAGATTTGCCTCTGAATGGTTAAGTATTATACAGAGTCTGAATGATTAAGACCTCTTATCTGAATTGATCAGACATTTGCCTCTGAATAGTTAAGCAATATACTAGCTCTTAATGGTTCAGACCTCTTACTGGTTCAGCACTTAATGGTTCAGACCTCTTACTGGTTCAGCACTTACCCATTCAGAAATTGTCAAACAGCCCCTAACCCTAGTTAGTTCTTTTCCTATATCATTTTTCATGTTTCATCATGAAAATATGTATTTATGTATGTTTATGTAGGGCTTCAAAGATGCGGAAAGAGTTGTCGCCTGCGTTGGACCAATTATTTGAGACCGGATATAAAGAGAGGAAAATTCTCTTTTGAAGAAGAAGAGACTATTATCCAACTCCATAGTACCCTTGGAAACAAGTACATACTACTATCTTAATTAATTCTAAGACCATCCATCCATATTTATAGTGTTTTCTGAATTAATCTGCACCATTAAAAATGGGGAATTTACTTAAATAGCACAAAAATATTACTCCCTCCGTCCCTAAATATATTGCAATTTTTTTCTCTCTCATCTCGATAACTTTTGTTTGTTTACGCGATTTCATTAAGTATTTGATAAAATAAAATATTCTTGTCACCTCTTGTTTTGTAGAACTTTTGACGTAGTTTTTTAATATGTAATTTTTATATCTTATTGATATACCAATTTATAAATAAAATGATTTCAAAAAGTAAGAAATTTTGTTCCATAACCCGCAATTTGTAATCAAATTGAGGACGGAGGTAGTATGACTTTCCCTAAATATAAGCATATTATGTGTTTTGTTTTCGATGTAGCACTTTTAGTCATTATTCATTGGTCATTATTCAAGTACATATTTGTTATCACTGGACATTACTCTTCCTTCTGGACATCATTACGTACTATTTAGAGAATAAAACAGTTTATATATGGTGCAGGTGGTCGGCCATAGCGGCAAAGTTACCGGGGAGGACAGACAACGAGATCAAGAACTACTAGAACACTCACATCAAAAAGAGACTTCTCAAGAGCGGAATCGATCCCGTGACCCATACCCCATGCTGCCTCGATCTTTTCGGCCTCTCCAATCTGCTCCACCAGCAGTTGGGTTTACAAGCCGCAGCTGCCCTAATGAACCCACCGGAGGCGGTCATGATGACGAGGAGTCTTTTGAGCAGCACTCTCATGACCGCCGCCGCTGCCACCGCACAGAACAACGAATATGCTCCTAATATTCACCATGGGCATCATGGCCTTTTAATGCTATTGCAAAAGATTCTTCTTCAAGAGAGCCTCTCAAACGACCGCCAGTTGTTGTTTCAGAAACTGTTGCAGGAAAACCATGCCCTAATAATGAACGGCACCCATCACCAGGCCTCGACGTGTCCGGCGCCTGATAAGATGCAGCCGCCGCAGATGAGCGCCGCGGCCGCCACGGGAAGTTCGGTTCATACGGACGACTACGGCTATAACTTTGGAGCGGCTGGGCCGCACGAGCCATATTTATTGAGAGGTAATCCGTGGAGTCCGGCGGCGTTTGGTTCGTCCGGTACGCCTTTGTCGAGTCCGGCGGCGGACTCCGCCGCGCTTGTGAACAACGGCGGGGGCAGCACGGAGGAGGAGGAGGAGGAGAAAGAAAGCGATTGTTGCGGCGATTTGAGGAAACTGTTTGAAATTCCGTCGGGTTTGGATTTGGAGGATTTGCTGTGAATGGTGTTCATTTCATTTGTAGGGAGTATAGTAGTAGTACGGAGTCTCTTCTGTAATTTGTTTGTACAGAATAGTGTTTTTGTTTCATACGTAAGCTCGGCGACCATTGTTCTCAGTAGAATAGTTGTTTGTATGTCGGGAGACACTGTTACATTCGTGTACTGTTCAAATTCATTGAATAAGTTATTCGGTATTCTATATGTAAAATTTGTTATGAGTAAAACATTGGCCATTTCCCTAAATACGACATCTTACTTATGAGTAATTTACTTAAATAGGACTAAAATATAATGACTTTTCCAATATATGATCATATGTTTTTATTTTTTAATGTAGGACTTTTGGTCATTATGAATTAATCATTATTCAAGTAAATGTCTATCATTACTGGACATTATTCCTCCCACCAAGACATTAATAAGTCTTATTTAGGGAATAAAAAAGTTTATGTTCTAGATTAGAAAAGTCATTATGTTTTAGTCCTATTTAGTGCAAATTTAACTTTATTCCTTTATATAGGATTTAATTCATCAATTATTAAATAATAATACTATCTCCAGTTCTCAAAAAACATGGAAAATTTTGATTTTTAAAGGATTTAAATAAAATGTATTATGGTATTTAGTTTTCAAAAATATCTTTTGATGTTATAAGTAAAAATAGGATCTCATAGGTAGATTAATAGTGAATAGATGTGATGTGATGGGTAGGTTAAAAATTAGTACGAATAAAAATAATTTTTTAATAAAAATGATAACAATTTTTGGGACGGATGAAAAAAGAAAAGAAAAAGATTTTCAGAAAGTGAAGATCTATTCATTTGCTGAAGTACCCTTAAACATATTTATTTAATATCAAAGATAAACCTAATCACTTCTCTGCTGCCGCCACTAATTTACATCTTCAATTCACTGCTCTTCTTCTTCTTTTTCTTTCAATTCATTTTCTTCATAACCTCCCCCTCCCCTGCACAATCATGCCGCCGCTAGCCATTGCCGCCCCTCCTGCCTCGTAAAGTTGCATGCGGCAGCCGGCCGGCGTCTATACACGGTCAGACGTTTTTCAAAAATAATTTCATTAGTTTCTTTTCTAATCTACTTTTCTTTTCCGATCAAGTTTAACAACTTTTTTTGCTTTTGGTTCTCTTTTGTAATAATGTAAAAAGTTTTTTAATGACTTGTTAATTTTTGGGGGTTTGATCTTCTTAATCTCATTTTTGTTAATTATCTATATTCTTGTGTGTTGTCATTGTCATTCCTTGTCACTACAAGGACATTTAACGATACTCACATTGTTTTTTCTTCAATGGATAAAAAAGACTTTGAACATATTAGACAATGTCCATCCGACAGAGGAAACTATTAGAAATGATCGAGGACATTGAAATTGCAATGACAGCGCATGTAATAGACTAATAGACATTATAGAGTGGTTAAAATGTTGTGGATATTGTCTTTTTCGTTATGAATATAAAGACTTTGAACATAGTGGTTAATGTCTATCAAGTAGAAAACATTATTGGAGAAAATTAATGGGCAGCGGTGGTGGTCGATGGTCGGCAATGAACGCCGGTTGTGATGGACAATAATTGGTCGTGATGAATGGTAGGGTGGCGGAGGGATTGATACGAATATCGTATCGGATAGGGAAGAACTTCGAGCGTCTTCGGGCTCCAAGAAAGGGGAGGTAAAGAGAGAAGGAAAACTTCGAGTGTTTCCGGGCTCCAAGAAGAGAGACGAGAGATTAAGATATTTCTTGATTATCGATTGATTGAATGATAATGATACGGGATTACAATATATAGAGATGAGACACCACACCACACCTACATGACCTAATGGGCTCGGGCCCATACAAAAACCACAATCTATAAAATACTAATAACTAATAATAATTAACTACTAAATAATAATATAACTCATTAAAATATTCTAATTAACTATCCGTATCATTCCCACCCCCTTAAAAACCACCTTGTCCTCAAGGTGGAGGTTCCCAATCAAGCTTTTGGACATGTGAGAACGTGCTGAACCAGAAAAGACGTGCATTTGTTGACTAATCTTCAAGAAGCTTCTCTGATGAAGTATAGTGGCAAAAATAAAAGAGAAGACCAAACATGCATCGAACTATTTTCTTTGAAACCAGGTGTTCAGACTTGACAATACCGACAATGTCAAACAACGCGATGGTGTCCAACGAAATTGAGTTATCGGTGTAGATACAATTTTCATCTGCCACCTTGTCCACACCCTCTAGAAGGGCAAACTCTTTATTTTTCCCCACGACGTTGGACCCCTCGTCATCCGCATTTATGAGTTCAGGCCCACTGTCCAAGTTATCTCCAGACCCCTCGTCATCTGCATTTATGAGTTCACTGTCCATGTTATCCCCAACATATGATTCCACGCTTGAGTCATCCTTTGACTCCTTTTTATGAGACTCAGTGTTTTGTATGGTGACCATATGAGCCAAATTGGGTGGAGAAAGCGGGGCATTGATAAGGGTTCGGATGGCATTCATCATGTTTGTTCTGAAATTTTGTAACTCCAAAGAAATCAAAATCGACAAAATTGAGGGACAACGAACCAAATCCTGTACCGCACAAGAGATTTCAATGTCAAATGCCTGTAAGCCAGAATCATAATTGGACTGACCTTCAATAGGACGAAATGACTGGAGGTTCGTTATCATTTCATCAATGTAATCGTAAAGTGTGCACACTCCCTCGTCGTGCTCAATTTCTCCATATAGAACATTCTCTAGCAAATGAATAAGCTTGTCCAGTGCATATGCACTATTAATTAAAATCTCTAACCGTGCAAATTGTGCCTCCATTCGCGATGAAAAATCATACTGCATGATGGGCTGCTTGTTTTCAAGTTTTTTTTCTTTTCTGGCAGGCGAAAATGGATGAAAACACAAAAGGGGAGTGGCCACACACCACTTGATACGGCAAAGTGGGAATTAAGTGGCCAAACCAACTCCTTTGTGTGTTATTCTCTTTTTTTACGGCACAACCTCTGCTGCTTTAAGTCGGACTGCTCCGCAAGAACTGAGTATTAGCAGCACCTGCAGCGGATGGATTGTCAACAGCACCCGAGGAACAGGGCAACTCCAAATTGACGGCTTGCTGCTACGGTGACAATCAAACTTTGGCGGGTTGACAAAAGGAAAAAGTGGACGACGGCTCCCAAATACTCGAATCTGTGGCAATTGAAACAAACTGGATCACTTTGTAAGCAGAATTTTTGTGCTCGAAACAAGGCTTTGCACGCAGATTTTGAGCAAAAATTGTGGCCCAGCGTCCGCAACTTGTGGTTCAATTTTGGGACGGCCGCTTAGGAGCAATCTGTGATGGATTTTGTGATGCAATTTTTTTCTTTGGTGACACAAAATACTGGCGGCTACAACACAACTTTGCTGCTCTCTGATTCTTCTACGGCGGCGTAGGAAAACAATTGAATCTGCCCGACAAACAAAATTTATCGATCTCTTATCACCGGAAATTTCTTTTCTTAGCTTGCTGGCGACCAAGTATATGGCGTCGATGGCAAATCTATCGATCTCTTATGTTGCTTGCTGGAGGCGAACCCAATCGACAAAAAATTAGGCGGAGGTGATGCGGTACTAGTAGCGGGCTCTCAATGAGAGCACCAATTGATACGAATATCGTATCGAATAGGAAAGAACTTCGAACGTCTTCGGGCTCCAAGAAAAGGGAGGTAAAGAGAGAAGAAAACTTCGAGCGCTTCCGGGCTCCAAGAAGGGAGACAAGAGATTAAGATATTTCTTGATTACCGATTGAATGAATGATAATGATACGGGATTACAATATATAGAGATGAGACGCCACACCTACATGACCTAATGGGCTCGGGCCCATACAAAAACCCTAATCTATAAAATACTACTACCTCCCTTTCTCAAAAGAGTTCCTCTTTTGACTTTGGGGGAAAATAAGGAAGTGTTAAATTGTAGTTGACTTTCCAATTTTGCCCTTGATGTGATGGGTAAAAGTAAGATGTGATAGTTTAGTTGTTAGTGAAAAAGTATGATGTGATAAGTAGGGTATGAAAAAGTAGGGGTAAAAGTGGTTTTTTAATAGAAAGGGGAAGTGTTTTAAGAAAAACAAAAAAAAATGAAAGAGGAAGGGTTTTAAGAAACGGGGGGAGTAATAACTAATAATAATTAACTACTAAATAATAATATAACTAATTAAAATATTCTAATTAACTATCCGTATCAGGGATAAAGTTATTGTTGGTTCCCTAGTTCTGTTTTATAGTTGGCATTGTTTTTTGACAAAATTAAACCATGTGTAGTACGGAGTAGTATTGTGTGTTTAGCTGTGTTGAGGATAGAGCTGTAGCATCTTGTCCGTCACACTACATGTTATGACTTGCTTGCGAAGAGATTTTCTTTAAAAAGAGGTCTCGGCGTTATGAAACATCTCGTAGCAACTGTGTACTAGAACGTAACCTAAACTCTTGAAGATAGAGTTTGCACAAGTCAAGCCTCTTTACTTGGAATTTTACGTCGGATGGACACTGCACTAGCAACGCCGCATCACGAAGTTGGGTTGAACTGGGATTCAAGTATGTAGGATTTGCTTCCTATAAATATGAGGTCTGCTATTCACTTCAGGTGAGAGTGAAGAACAAAGAAATTTACGTAGAGTGAATATATCTTAAAGAGAGTTTTTATTGGTCAGTCATCATCATCATGATATATTGATAAAGTTTATTTATTGATGATGACTATTTGAGGCTTACGATAAATAGAGATATTGAAGATTCTAGGAGCGTTCCAGAACTTGATATGAGCTATTTTAGAGCTTGGGCCACCAACACGTCTCAGATAAGTTGAAGAGTGTTACAGTTCTTGATATGTCCCACAAATCGAGTTTGATGCATTTCCTTTGAGTTAGAGTTTAGGTCAATCGAGTCTATAGTTATTGAGGTTGTAAACTCTACTGTGATGAAGGTTGCTACATTGACGTGAGCCTCGCAGATGTAGGAGATTTTGCTTCGAACTGCGTAAATAATTTGTGTGTCGTGTGTACTGTTCTTTATTATTTTTGTGTGTGCGTGGGACGAAGAGGTTGGTATAGCACGTTGTTTGTCATCCGATACAGTGACAGTGCTATAGCATCTTCTGTGACAATTTTGTTGGTGCTCACTACATAGGTTGACCACTG